GACTTTTCTTCTACAGAGTTATAAGTTTCTACATGAGCGCCGTATCCAAGAAATGGAAGACTCTATTGAACTCGGTACCAAACTCTCATTACAAAATCCAAACAGAAATTCCTTCCGTGCTTTGTTGTATAATGGATCGATACAGCTTACAGCATGGGTTGATAAATCAATGGGAGTACTATGCCATGAACATGGCGATCATAAAAAAAGTATCATCGAATGCTTTAGGCTGAAAGGGAGCTTGTCAAGATTGCAGGGATACGGACGAGCCATTCATGGCAACAAAGAGCAGGGGCAAGTTGTTGATGATCGAATAGAGTTGATGGCTAAAAACTATGTCAAGAAGCTAGACTTGAACTATAAGATCTATTCGCTCTCATGGTACCACTTTCCTCCTCCTACTCTTGTTGGTGCATTGGTTGTGTTAATTTTATGTAATTGTGCTTTGGAAATCCCAGCGCGCAAGAGGCTTAGCTGACTTCAGGTGCTGAGGTTGTCAAATGTGGATTTGAATGGGCAAGCTGGAGACCTCCTTTCGATCTGCCCTTCTCTCGAGACTTTAGACATCAAGTCATGCAGAAACATAAAACATCTTCAAATTATTTCCATCTTTAAGCTCAAGAATGTTGTTCTTGGATTCCAAACCGAAGCTTATACGCACAATATTAAAGGGATCAATCTTCAAACTCCTCATTCGAATGAAATTCCTCAATTTTTCGAAATGCCAATTCTCGGGGAAGTAGTGTATTGCAGAAATCTAAAGGAGTTGAGTTTATGCGCTACATATCACACGTTCATTACCAACCAAATTATTGAGACGCTTATTTCTAAGTTTCCATATCTCGAGGAGCTGGCCTTGTCTCTGCCAGTTTGAAAGGAATTAAATCAATCTCTAAGTTTTCCCCTTCCATAATAACTGGACAATTCTGATATTGCCATTGAGCACAAAACAATTCACCACTTGGCATTTGAATCAGCATATCAAAACCTAGTGGCTGAGGTTGAGAATGTATAACCCGAGCAAAAGATGAAGAAACAAAAGACTGTGTAGCACCCGGATCAATTAAAACTCCAGCCCAAGTGTTACAGACAGGTAATGTATCGATGATAACTCGAGGATCATGATCAGCCTCCTGCTAAGTCATGGCGTTCATACGTCCATGAACCTGATACCCCGCATTATTGTTCTGACCGCCACGACTTCTGGAACCACGTCCTACTCTGTTCCCCTGATTACTATTACCAGAAAATGTTCCAGCCTGCTGCTGGGTCGAAAACTGAGCACTCCGGCTGTCACTCTTTCTAAAACTCTGGCTACCTCTGCCACCAAACTGCAGACCTCTGTTACTCCCGTAGTTCTGATTAGTACTACTACCATAACTCCGACTACTACTGCCATTGCCATCATAGCTTTGTCGGGCGCCAAAATTCTGAACTGGCTGATATCCATTGTAGCTTGAGCCAGAGGTAAAATCACCAGGTGGTGGTGCTGAAAGATAATCACGAACAAAATGCCCGGTACCACCGCACCTGTGACAAACTACAACAATTATCCCACAACTCCCGCGATGATGTAACCCACACTGATTACAAATCGAATAGCTCGGAGTGAAATGACCAAAAGATCGTCTCGCGAACTCGTTGCCTGAGCCTTCACTGGACGACCCTGAGCCCCGACCTAGTCGTTTAAAGGAAAAACAAACCTACAGAACTTGAGGGGCCCACTGATTCTCTGGTAGTCCGCGATCGAAAATTCCGACTCCTCTGATTCTGATTTCGTTGTCTATTCTGTCTCGGGGGCTAGATCCAAGTCTGAGGTTGATCTTGTAGCTCCATATCCCACTTAGATTGTTCTATACTCAGACTTATCTGGATTACTTCTTCATAAGTTCTAGGTCTCTAAGCAGCTACCAGTGTACGGTACTCCTGGTTCAGTGCAATTATCGTCTGATCCATCTGTGCATGTGGATTATCATAAGTCTCATCATGATGCCTAGCCAAGCGCCTGAAGGTACTGTCAAATTCTGTGATGCTGAGGTCACCCTGTCGAAACTCTAAATACTCCTGCCTCTTCCTCAATCTGTAATTGGGGCTTAGAAAATAAGTAATAAAATGTTTCCAGAAGGCAGCCCATGTCATCCAAGAACCAGGTGGACGAGATTCCTTCGTTGATTTCCACCAACTTCTAGCATCACCCTGAATAAAAAAACCTGCAGTGTTTGCCCACTCATTTAGGGGACACTTCATCGCCTCTAAAGTATCCTCCATTTGCTCTAACCACTGCTCAGCCTCCTTACAATTTCCCACAGATTTCAACTCAGTAACTCTATGACTTCTAGCGATTTCTAAATACGTTCTATTCGGTCTATGACCCAGAAGAGCATTCATTAATGCAGTGGTAAACTGCTGGATTCCCTCCATTATAAAAGAACGAGGTCGTCGAGGCACATTCCCACCAGGATTAGCCATGATTCTGACAAAGACAACAAGATTTAGAAAGGCTGAAATTTACCAAATTGGTGGAAAGAAACCTTAACCAAGCTCTGATACCAATCTGACACGTCCCGACCCCGATATTCCCCGAATACCCGGATAGGCACGTGTTGGCCGACACCGAAGGGTGACAAAAGCCATTTATTGAATACAAGAATAATGATTAGGAAGAAATATACATGAATAAACATTAGGGTCTAGCAGTAATAAACAAAGTTTAATGAAATGTCTAGGGTGCCCAACACACGTTCTAAAACAAGATCACAAAAGGAAAAGTCATTACAAGGTATCACTCAAGTGAGTGATAGACTGCTACTGGTAGGGCAATGCCTCGTACGTTGTGTCGTAGTCCTCGTTTCTAAGACCTAAATGAGGGCGCAAAACAAAGGTGAGTAGACCAAGTTCATATATAATAATAATAATAAACCAGTTATCAAGATACTAATCCCCACAATTTATATAAAGAAAACTACTAGCATAATAAGTGATGAGTTTAATGAAAATCCTAGCATGCCAAAAGATATCTCAAGAGACATATCGTGGAACACAAAATGTCAAACATCTCATAAATTGTCTCTTAGTTTAATGTACTACTAGTAAGATCACTGAATATATATATATATATATATATATATATATATATATATATATATATATCTCCCGGCCCTAAGCCAGCACCATGGTCTCTGCCCCCGTAGCCAGAGATTACCAACTCCAGGCCCAATGCCTGCTCCGTGTCCCTCAGCCCGTAGCTAGGGATTATTTCTCCCCGCCCAACTGCCAACACCAGATCCTCACCCCAAGCGGCACAGTGTCCACCAGGTACGTACAAATAGTTACGCCTCTCATAAATAACCAATTCATAGTATAAAGTCATCCATCCTCTATACTATAAAGAGGGGTTTCTAACACATGTTCTAGCATCCTATCGTCATCCATCAGATGGCTTACCAGTTCATGGTTTTTATAGAAAATACGATATTTAAAAATATAGCTTAATATAGGCTAACAATTAATTCCTCACCAAAAACAAGATGATAAATAACATATTTCATAAATTTGCTTAACAAAAAATCAATTAATAACTCGTAAGGCATGCATTTCATTTATGCAATTAAACTATGAAATTATGCAAATTTTAGAAAGGGTCCACTAACAGATACTCCTTAGCAGTAGAGTTGTGCCGATAAGGATTACGAATTCCCTCACTAGCAACTTCAGCTAAGCACAAAAATGTAATAAATAAATAAAAGGATTTTCTAAAGGATTTGGACTTGAACTAAATTAAATAAAGATTTGGGTTGAATGGGATAAGGTCTAATGGGTTTTAGGATCTTAAGGTTTTTGTGTTAAAAGGGTTTAGGGTGAAGAATGGTGGTTTGGGCTTAAACCCAAACCCACACTCACACACACACACGCTAGCCCACACATACATACACACACGTGCACCTCACACACGTGCACATGCTTACACACACATACCACACTTGCACGGACACACATACACACAACACACACATGCACAACACATGCACACACACACGGGTACACACCCACACATGCACACACGGACACACACTCACACAACACAACCCAAAACACACACACACATGGGCCATGTAGGGCACGGCCCAATCACACACACACTCTACACAAGCACGACCTGCAGGCCAATTAATCAAAAAGGGACTGGGCTGGTTCAAGACTGGGCTAAGGCCCCGAGGTGTTTGAGAAGGCCTGATGGCCTGGGTGGCTCTGGTGCAAATTGGGGAAGAACACCGGAGCTGTTGTAGCTCCGATCGACGGCGAACGTTCAAACAACAGTCAAACTAAGTACCAAATTGAAGAGAGAAAATAGCTGAAATGATAGGAACGGAATTATACCACTTAGAATCTCAACTGTGGTCGAGAATGGCGAGGTGGATCTCGGAACTCGTCAGGTTTTCTTACCGGGTTCTGGAAAACAACAATATAAGGCATGCACTGATTAGAACCTTCATTTGAACTGAGAATGACTCAACAAAATAGAAATAGAGTAGTGAGCCTCGCTTGAGTTTGAGTTTCAAAGGTTTGAAGCTCTCGGCTTCAATGGCAGAACAGACAGAGGTGTTCTACCAACGCATGCAGGGTTATAGTTGTGTTCCTATAGCTCCTAAGATCCTAGATATGTGGTAAATTATTTAGGTTTGATTTTTTTTTTTTTTGAAGAGGAAAGAAACAAAAGCTCTTTGAGCTCTTGGAAATTGAGGTTTCCCATGAGAGAAAGAGAGAGGTTTGAGATGGAAAGTGTTTCGGGAAGAGGGGGAAGAGAAGAGAGTCAGAGAGCTGCCACATGGTAGTTTAGGATAAAAAGGAACCTGGATCAACGACTAGGATTAAAAGAGAATAAGGGATTAAATTGATAGATTTAAAATATGTTTTAGGGGAAAAGAGAAATAAACTGAAAATATGGGGGTGGTTGTAACAATTTACCCCCTTATACAAATTTCGTCCTCGAAATTTAGAAGTTACACGAAAAGAAAGGGATATTGGTTCTGCATTAATTCCTCTGTTTCCCAAGTAGCTTCTTCGACTGCATGGTTTCTCCACAATACCTTTACCAAAGGAATAACTTTGTTCCGCAACACCTTATCCGGTCTGTCAAGGATAGCCACTGGTTCTTCTACATAGCTAGCATCCGGATTTACTTCTAATGGCTCTATCTGGATGATATGAGAGGGATCCGGTACATATTTCCGAAGCATGGAAACATGGAAAACGTTATGGATCAGTGATAACTCTGGTGGTAACTCCAACTTATAAGCAACTGCACCAATTCTCTCAATAATCTGATAGGGACCGACGTATCGATGACTCAACTTCCCTTGCTTACCAAAACGAACAACGCCCTTCCAGGGAGACAACTTCAAGAATACAAAGTCGCCCACTGTAAACTCACGATCCTTGGAGTGTTTGTCTGCAATGCTTTTCTGTCGGTCTTGTGCTACTTTCAAATTCGCCTTAATTAGTTGGATATTAGCGTTGATGGTATCCACAAGCTCTGGTCCCACCAATGGCCTTTCTCCTGCCTCTGTCCAATATAATGGCATCCTACACGCCTTCCCATAAAGTGCTTCAAAAGACGTCATACCAATACTCGAGAAGAATGCATGTACTGACATACTTGATTCACAGCAAATGCCAAATCAGGTCATTTCTAGGTGAGATACTGTAAAGCCCCAACTGTTGATCTATAAAATGTAGGATATAAGAAAAGAGTGCCTGAGTGATCCAATTTTGCAGAACCAACAAGAGTGGAGCAAGACTTGACACCAAGCATATTAGTTTCTTTAACAAATCAATAACATATTTTGATTGGTTTAGAAACAACCCTTTAGCAGACCTATGAACTTCAATACCCAAAAAGTAATGAATGTCACCCAAGTCCTTCACTGGGAACATAGTTTGTAACTAAGCAATAATAGATTGACAGACTGAGCTAGAGCTACCAGTGATGATGATATCATCAACATATACTAAGATGAAGGTGATGGTAGAATCCTTTTTTATAAACAAACTGGTGTCATAGTAGAAAGAGGAAAATCCCAATGACAGGATGGCCTTGTAAAATGCTTCATACCAGGCTCCAGGTGCCTATTTTAAACCATAGAGAAACCTGTTGAGCTTGCATACATGGTGGGGTTTGGTTTGATCAACAAAGCCAGGTGGCTAGATTATGTAAACATCCTCATTTAAAGTTTGATGCAGGAAATCATTACTTACATCAAGCTGGTGCACAAACCAATCATAGGAAACAACAATGGATAACAAAATTCGAATAGTTATAGGCTTAGCAACAAGACTGAAATTCTCAGAGAAATCAAGCCCCTCTTGTTGATGAAACCTTTTTGCCACTAAACGAGCCTTATATCATTCTATTGAGCCATCTGGTTTATGTTTGACCTTGAACACTCATTTGCAACCTACCAGATTTAAACCAGGATGAGAAGGAATCAAATCCCAAGTTCTAGTGGATTGCAGGCACCAGTTTGACTTGGGGGTGGTGATTTAGTGGTAGTGGGTGGCAAAGTTGCTTTGTTACCTATTCCATTTAGAACCGCAGATTTTTTGTGTGCATCACATTCATGCATTTACAATTCATGTAACGGTATTAATACTTCTGAAAGGTGTTCTATTTGCTTGCAGTTCATGTTTGATACCAGATAAACCAAATCTTGGTTTTCGTTTCCCTTGTGACAGGCCGGGAAGTAAGGGGAAATGCCAAGTATCCGCTTGGGATTATGTCTTCTTAGGACTATTCTGGATGTATAATGCAAAGCTTGAAACTCCTCCTTCATGGATACCAACCAGTGTGGATTCTTTGAAGCTTGCAGAAAAGTTGTTGGTGTTGGAGGAAGATAAGCAAGTGACACGACAGAAGGTGGGAGAGAATGTTTGGTTGCAGTGACCTTTGGCTTGTGAATACCATCTTTAGCTCTTGTAATCATTGGGTGATAATTAGTAGGCAAAGGTGCAGGTGCCAAAGAGATAAGAAGTTGTGGAGTGCTTGAAGTAGTAGATGCGAATGCGGTAGAACTAGCAAATGTTGTAGAGACCTGATTATGTGATAAACAACCTTGACTAGCAGACCGGTAATTAGTTGTTGTAGAAGGAGCTGGAAGAGTCACAGTAATGGGAGATGAACTTGTAGATGGTGCAACTAGAGAGAAGCTAGAGGCTTAGAACATACCATTCTTAAAAGAAAACAGTTGTGCATCAAAAGTGATATGCCTTGATACATAAACTTTGTTAGTCACATGGTCAAAACATCTATGACCACTATGATTGAGACTATACCCAAAAAAAAACACACAGTTTGCTCTTGGCATCAAGTTTGTGAGATGAATAGGGTTACAACTAAGGATAACAAGCACAACCAAAAGCTTTATGAGTATGATACCTTGGAGTTGCTTTGAAAAGTATTTCTCAAGGACTAACAGAAGAGGATTGAGGAGGTAGCCTATTGATGAGATAGATAGTAGTTTGAAAAGCCTCTACCCCAAATTTTGTTGCCAAACCACTCTGAGAAAGAAGAGTTATACCTATTTCAAACACATGCTTATGTTTCCTCTCTACACACTTATTTTGTTCAGGTGTATGAGCATAACTTAATTGATGTGTAATGCCTTGTTCATTAAGAAAACTATGAAAGTTCTTGCTTAAGAACTCACCCCCTGAATCTGACCTTAGGCATTGTATCTTATGTTGGAAATGTGCCCTAAAACCAATCATATGATGATACTTTACGGACATTTCACATGTTAAACTAATCTAGTTTAAATATAAAGGGCAAAGATTATTGTTTGAGCCGTCTCATATAAATGTTATATGCTTAAACGATAAGTCCAAGGAATATGTGATTGGGAGAATGCAATCTAAAGAAGTTAGATTCATGAGACCATTCTTTCGTAGACACATCCTAAACGTTCCTGATCATAGGATTGCCAATTGGGCATTGACAGTCCGTTAAGATCAGTACGTGCTGTGTCTTCTCTCAGGGAGAGTGACTAGTCTCGAGTCATTGGTGTGTGTGACATCAAGACAAGTACGTAGGTGCTTAATAGAGAATGAGTTCACTGAACACGATCAACGAAGAGTTCTCATATTCATGTCACATGAGAACTCATGGTTGGGATAATGCAAAGTAGTCCTTTGACCTGAGGCATCACATCTGTCTTGTGGTTAAGTCCCTGATCTTTGATTATGCCAAAGTCAACCCATCCGCGGGTGTCCACGGCATCGTTGGGGTTAAGCCACTTAGCTATGGAGGCAAGTGAATGTGCAACAAGGGATCTCTAACCTTCAAACCATTTGGGGGAGAATACTCTATGATATGATTTAGAATCTCTGGCCAGAGTATGAATGAGATTTAGGAAGTCGTTCCAAATCACATTCAAGGAAATCATATAAGCACACGAATCACATTGGATAGTAGACATGAATAAATAAACTATCAAACCAAACAATGTGGTCAAGAGTATTGTATTAGAGAAAGACCGTATTGCATTTGTAATCCTAAACTGAATAGGTTCTCTACCTCTTCTGATTAGCTTGGGTAACCATGATATGCTGCTAGGTGTCACTCATGGTTTGTGGAAGCCCTAAACGTGTGTAATCACTAAAGGGAGAATTGAAAATAGTTTCAATTCACAATCGATGTAAAATGGTTTTAATCGCCCACTACCTCGCTAAAAGGAACCTAATGGATCGCACACCGTAAAAGGTAGAGATTGAAGAAACAATGGAGATGAGTAAGAATAATTAAATGGTTTAATTATTTATGGCAAGGATTAATTAATATGTTAATTAATCAAACGAATAAGTTCGTTAAAGACCTCGGGATAGTTTTGGACCTTAAGGCCCAATGGGCTTCGAACGTCAAGCCCATTGACTTAAGTTGTATGACAATTTAATGAATAAAGATTCACAAAGGCCCAAAAGCCCATATCCCTTATATGGCCGGCCATGTGTGTGAATTAGGGTTTTTGGTTATTTAGGTCATTTAAAGAAGTGACTATATAAAGAACTTTATAGCCTAAAATTCATTAAGGGTTTTCTTTTGGAGAAAATTGGTGAGAACTTGTCTCTCATTTTCTCTCTAGGAGGCCGACCCCCTTGGAGGGTGTATCTAGCAATCCCACTACTCCAAGGTCACTCATTTCTTCTCCAATCTCTCCTTGGTGTGGAGACTTAGAGGTTTTCAATTTTGGGAACTTGGAGAAACCTTTTCATCCATCCAAATCCATAGATTTTAGATGCAAGGAATGAAGGCCCTCTCTTTGGGTGATTAGCCTTTGCTTATGCAAAGAGGAATCTACAAAGGTAAATTTCAACTCACTTTGATTTTGAGTTAAGTCTTGGTTCACCAATCTACTAGGCTTTGAATTTCATGGTTAATGTTTTGTTTTTGAATGCATGCAAGCATGATTCCGCCTTTTAATTGTTAATTGCATGCTATAGATGTTATTCAAATGAACATGTTTTCACAAAATCATCCTTCATCTTATAGTAAAAAATGTTTGAACTTTGAGAACAAAAGTCTTGAAAATTAAGTAGACATCAGATTTATAAACCATAGGATATAACCAGTTGTATTTAGTATAGTCATCTACCAAAATAAGGTAGTATTTGTAACCAGTACATGAAGTAATAGGAGAAGGACCTCAAACATCAATGTGTAGTAAATGAAAGGGCCTAGTGGAAGTACAAGGCAAAGTAGAAAATGGTAACCTAGAGGCCTTACCCAATTTACAATCAGTACAAATAGACCATGTATTGACAAAACCAATAACATGTAGCTAGTTTTTTATTGACAACAATAAGTAATACTAATTGATGGATGACCTAGTCTTTTATGCCAGATATGAGCATTAGCTTTAGTTACATCAATGCCTAAGGAGAGAGTGCAATTCCAGAGGTACCATTGGATGCATCCCAGTAGAAATGATATAGACCACCCTTACAGGGGCCCTGGAAGAGCATCCTCTCAGTTCTTAGGTCCTTTATACATAATCCAAATGGATCAAAGCTCAGAGAAGCTTAATTATCATAGACAAACTTGTAAACTGATAACAAGTTATGTGATGCTTTTGGAACTAACAACACATCATTGAGTTTAAAGGTAGCATTTATAGTACGAATTAAAGCAAATTCAGTATGAGAAATACACAGACCTTTACCATTACCAACAAATAGATGATCACTACTAGTGTAAAGAATGGCAGAATTGAGAGATGTGGGATCAGTGTCACATGGTGAGAGGCGCCACTGTCAGTTAACTAATAGCTCGGTGGAGGGGAAGTAGCAGCAGTCATGCCAATAGGAGGTCCGGTGTATGGTTTTTTAGATGAAAAGTGAGAGAGTTTCTCACAATTGAGAGCTTCATGTCCATATTTGAGACATAATTGACACTGAAGAAATCTACCAGAATTGTAAGTATTAGAGTTTTGATCAGAGAATGTGGATCTTGAACTAGGACCAGGACCAAGAAGACCTCCTGAGTTATTGTTATTATTACGATGGCCTCCAAAATTCCAATTTTGAGGGTATTGATTCCAATTTTAAAAGCGTCCACGATAATTTCCTCTAT